GCCCCCCCCCCCCCCCCCCAGAGCACATCTATAAATGCCCTTGGGGCACATCCCACTTAAAAATGAGCTGTTTTAGGTTGGGGTACCCAAACATTTTGCCCTGCCAGGGCCTGGGCTGTGCCAGGTGCCTCTGTGGGGTGGATCTGGTCCATGGGCCTGATGCGACTGCAGTGTGTGTGCAGGCCTCCCCTATCTGTCCAGGATGGGCTCAGGGAGTGGAGTGACCCCAATCTGGATCTGAGGGATGGTGGGGAGAGCAGAGTAACCCTGATCCAGACAGGTGGGAAGTGGGTCTGGTTTTGAGCCTGCTGCATGGCTGATGGCCGAGGCAAGGTTGGATCCAGATTCATGAAGCTGTCACCGCTCCCTGCCACATGCAAAGCTAGTGAGGTTCTTAAGTGGTCTGTCCTGTCCAGAATAGAAGAAACACCATGTTTTCCATCCCAGTGGAAGATGCCTGCAGGCCAGATGTCCTCTCCATGGGCTGGGTTTGGCCTGCGGACCAAAGGTTGAGTACCCCTGCTCTAGGTAGATGTTACTTAGGCCTTTGCTGTGCACTATACATTCTGCAGTTCACTGGTAAGTCATGCAGCAAATGTAGGCTAGCCACAGGTGCAAAGTGATTGTCACTTGGGAAAAGTGACTCTTTGGCTGTACAGAGCCAACCAGCTGCAAAGTTAGTGCTTGGAAATGTGTAATAACTCTACTGCTGGTTTCTACCCAGCTTTCATTTGAACCTGTAGCAAAGCCCATAGTCTGTGAGTTGAGGTGGTACCAGTTGGAGGTGAAGGCTGATGTGACTTAGATATGCTGTGTCCCAGCCCCCACACAGGGTTACCTTACTGAGAGCAGTAACTGATGGGAGACGAGTATTAGCTGGAGCTTGTAGCTTATCTTTTGTTATACTCTGGAGATCTTCACAACTGGATATGATATACTCTGATACTTCAGAGCTGTTGCCTTAACTCCAGGAAGATGTGCGTTTATATTGAGCACTATAATGTCATTGATATTTTGGCTAGAGGTGGGCTTCCTGGTGATCTCTGTCTTCTCCCTGCCTCAGTTCACATCAGCAGTTTTTCAGCAGAAAAGCATGTGCAGGTCTCTAGTTAAAGTTAATGGATCAGTCCATATATTGTTGCAGCCTTGTAAGCTCCGATTCATGGGCCCTATACCCGGAAACTGGAATTGGTGTGGGAATCTTTGCAGAAGGCTGACTCTACATAGATACTGTATGTTCCTCTAGCCAAAGGAATCTGGAGGCTTGCAAAAGATGAGCTATGTATGTTTCTCTCTTGTTGCTACTAGCATAATAAAGAAGAAAAATATAAGCAGGGTTAGGCAATGTTTTGTTCTTAATACCTGCACCAGGTCTACACTGATGTGTCCACTAATGGTATCACCTTGGGACAGATGCATTTGCATTTGGAAAACATTCAACTTACCCAGGCTGGCAAATGTTGCTGTCTAGCATATAGAATAAGCTTTTTCTCTCCTTTTTATTTTTTTAAACTTACTATGCTGGTCTAATCTTATTTATTTTCATCAAGGCTCCCTTTCTTACTGGGCAAAGAAGATGAAAGTCATACAAGACAGGGAGAGAAAAGATTCTTTCTTGAAAGCTATCTAGGAGATTCAAAATCTAGGAGCATCAAAACCAAGTCTCAGAAAAGTTCCAAATCATTTGACCAGTTTGGCATTACCAGTAACTTCACTGCACCTCCCTGTTGGGGAAAGTCTTGTTGCTTTTTGTTTCCTTCGCTGTCATCTGTTTTTTAACATGTAGCCTTATTGTACAGTGCTTAGGACACCATAAGCTTTGTACGGTTCATAATAAACTATACATTTCTCTGTGAGAAGACTGCGAAGGCAAAGGAATTCTAACCATGATGTGGTCATAATTGTTCCAAGCTTGATAAAATCTTTTTACGGGCTGGATTCTGCCTGCAGAGTGTATGTTGTTGACCCCTCTTCTCAAAGCATTAACATGGAGGAAAAATCTGATGTTTTGACTCTGTGAATTCCATCCTATCTTTCTTAACTTTTCCCTGTTTCGTTTTCCACTTCTCTCTCTCAGTTGGTTTCTTTCTTTTCAGCTGTCATTCTAACACCATCTCATTTGGTTTGTCTCAGAATGCAGAATAAAGTTTTAAGTAAAACTTATTGCAAGTTTCATGTTGTGCCGCACACCTGCAGTGCATTGAAGGCTGCTCTGCTTCTTCTAGTGCATTGTCATATTGGAGAAGAGTCCTACTGTTTGTTTAGACCCTGTGTAGTATCTGAATGAACAAAAGTTGGGCCTATGCAGTTCTAGGTTTCTTTTAAAAATGTTAATTTATGTCAAACTGGGGCTACAAATTTTAAATTTATCCATGAAATATTATTCTTTTAAAAGCTGCTATGCATAGGAGAAATGAGGTAGTGTGAAAAGGTGACAGTATGCAAAGATGGACTTCAAAACAGGTTGAGTGTAATTAATTTTAAGCACTAAACAAATGGCTACTGTTTTGCTGTAAGCTAGTATAGTCAGTGAGTTAATTGATTGATTTATACCTTGAAATGTTTTGTATTACAAGACAAGACTGAAACTGTCAAATCAAAATATCTATCCACCCTCCGGGTGGGTAATGCTAGCTACTAAAATGTTGGCAGTACAGCAGTGGGATAGCTTGGTCAAGAGGGAGACTTTTTTTTTTCTGTATAAAAATGTTATCACGTTCAAATCATACATCTTTTTATAGTATAGAGTTTTATTCTGTAACTTGGAAAAGTTCATAAATGTAGCAGGTAGCTGTTTAAAACTTTTTCTCATTCTGGTGAAATTAAAACTGACTTTAGGGAGAGTATGAACATGGATGTCTTTCTTTTGCTTTGTTCCAAGATCTTAGTGGTTCCATAGCATCGCCAGATGTTAAACTAAATCTAGGAGGTGGAGGAGGAGAGTTCATCAAAGAATCTTCTGCAACTACATTCCTGAGACAAAGAGGGTATGGCTGGCTTCTGGAAGTAGAAGATGATGATGACCCAGAAGATAACAAGCCACTTCTGTATGTCAGAATTACTCTTTGATATCTGTCTTTATTTTCTGGTTAGATGTTTTTGTTTTTCCTGAAAAACAGTGACCTATGTAATTCTCCTTTCATGAATAGAATTTCATAGTGACAATTTACTTTATTTTAATTTTGTTATTGTATTTTTGGTGTTGTAATGAAGACCTATATTACTACACTTTCATTCAGATTTCTTTTTATCATGAGAGAAAGAAGAAAACTAAAATACATTACTTTAACCTTGCCTGGGGGAAGGGTGAAAGTGGAGGTAAAAATAGACTTTAAGTAGCCTTGGTCAGTTCAGAGTTTTAGTGTACCCACTATGATTAAAAAATTGAGCCTTAGATCATGTCTTTTTTTTCTCCCTCTTTGTGTGTGTGTGTGTGTATGTGTGTGTGCGCACTGTCAATAAAGTGAGTTCCTTGAGCCCTGTCCAAGAAACAACCTCAGAGTCTTCTATAATGTAAAATGAGTGCTAGCAGTTACTGCCTGAAATAAGTACATGGTAAATACACTGATGATGACAACTGGTAGTATTGATGCAGGTGGGCAAAGAGTTTTTTGAGTTGAGATTTAACTTCAAGATAAACATTTCTTCATGGCATTCTTAATCAGAATGCTAGAAAAAACCAGTTACTCTGCTACAGACTAGAACTTTCTGATTGAGTTCAGTAAAATAAACTTCATTTTGGAAATAGCAAAAATCAAGCACAGCCTTCTTTCTACACTCCTTCATGTTATACTTCTACATTTAAAAATATTATCCTGTTCATATTTTGCATTTAAATACTAATTTTTAAGCCAGAGAGTACTGCAGATCTGTCAAACTTCAGCTCTGTCTGAATCATGTACAGAAATGTAGTGGGAAAAGGAAGACTTGTGATCTCATAATGTGAAACTCGTTCTTCAAGAAGTTTGATTTGTCACCTTTAGGTCACTTAGCTTCCATGCCTTTTTCTTTCTCCCCCCCCCCCCCCCCTTC